AAAAAAAACTTGTTAATTTTAATAATTGCCATTGTAAATGGATTAGCATAAACATTACACCATCTAAAAACAAGCTTTAAAACATCAAAACAGTTTAGGGTAATGTTTCTAGTCCATTTCCAGCACAAATGTCAAACTTTCATTACGAGCAGAAACAGAAAAACGATTTTTTTTTTTCAAGCTGTTTGCACACAAAAAAAAAAACAACAAACACCTAGGCTCTGATACCACTGATGGTTTTGAGCATTCTAAACATTCCTAAGTGTACATGCAACCCTAATAAACCTTGGATCTATGTTTGTCTAATAATCATGCAAAGTTGAATCCAAGGTTATATTCCTATCTAGCATACATGGGAAACATTTTAACCTGCATGAAAGATAGAATAACTTACCTTGTTGTTGATTATGATCCTTGAAACCTTGTGAGCCTAGCACCCCAAGTGTGATGCCTCAAATGCTTCACACAACACCAAATGCAAAGGAGTAAACTTTGAGAGAATCTTACACTTGCAAAAATCGGCTCTAGCCCTCTTGTTTCTTAGTGTCACCGATTTTGGTGGTGGCGAATGGGTTTCTTATATGGTGTTGGACACATCTAGGGTTACACCATGTAAACCCTAATTGTGTCATGACTCTTCATTTAATGACCCATGGGTTTGTAAACTCCCATGGAGCATCCATGGAGCATCCTATGGGGGTGGAACCACTTGATAATCCATGGAGCCTCTTAGCCCACTATATAAGATATGGAAGATTTACATAATCTACCCATATATTTAATTAGTTATCTTTTGATCACTTAATTAATTCTAAATTAATTCTTGATCAAACTAATTAAATAATATTATTAATATATTAGAACTTTATAATTATTAATAAACCATAAGTGTTATTTCTCTCATTTTAGTTTATCCAATTGCATGGTGCCATGCAACCCAAATGGACCATGCCGGGTCGGGTCAAGTACATACCAGAAATAGTTATGGACTTAGACACCTTATCCAACACCAAGGGGTATCCAGATCTCCAACATAAACCCTAATTCCTCCAACATAGTTCTCCCCAATGTCTAGATTATGAATTTCATGTAAGTCAAAAATTTTATTGATAATTCTCCCCACTTCTGGATTATCAAGAAATTCAACGTGGTATAACCCTTGATGAACAATCAAAGTTCTAGGCATGCACAAAATAAGGATTTTGTTTATGGATAGTTTAAGGCTTGTTAGATTTTTCTTATTTCCAAATAGGCGAAATATAAGTACAGATACTCGTGTATCCGAAAACTAGATAAAGATGATGAAAGTTGTTGATTATGTAGTTGAAAACTGTTTTTAGAAGAATTACTCAAACAAATATAGTTGTCATGTGACCTCCCGATGTTAAGGTACTTCTAATTTTGGACTCAATAATTTTATTATGTTGCATTTTTGGTCCCTAAGTTAAAAAAGAGTGGAAAAAGGGCCTAAAGTGGCATTTTGGTGAAAGCTGAGATGGGATGAGTACGTCGTGCGTACGTGTGTGTACGCTAAGCGTACTAAGGCGCGCATTAGTACGTTGGTCGTACACTTCGTACGCAGGGCGTACGTGGAATGCATGCAAACCCTAATTTTAGGGATTTGGCTCATATTTAAGCAACCTTATTTACTCATATGCTCTTGTTACCTAGCCTCCATCTGTGATATCGACCCTCAAGCAACCCTAGAGTAAGAGAGCAATTTTGAGCCTTTAAGAGAGTTTTGGAGTGGTTTTGAAGAGATAAGAAGGCTGTGAGAAGATCTTGGAGTTGAGAGCACTTTGGATCTGGGATTTCTTCTTGGTTTGCAACATCTTGAAGGTATAAAGCTTGCATCTTTACCACTCCATCTTGTAGATCTAGGCTTTGCTCTTTAAAGTTACTTTTTGGTCCGAAAATGATGATTCATGAACATAGCATGTTCTTGACCCATTAAGCTGTCCTTTCAAACCCTTAGAAGGGTCTTGAGTCATAAAACTGGATTCTAAACGGTTGGTTTTGCTCTATGCATAATTTAGAAGTTCTTAATGGATTAAGAAGTTGAGTTAAGCACTTAATGGACATGCAAAGTCATAAAGTTGGAAACTTTATGACTCTTGAGGGTATTTTAGCCATGGATCTGAAAAATAGACGAGAGTGCTTAAGCCATTATGTACTTATTGAGGTTTGGGACTTTTGGCAGTACGCCCTGCATACTTGGAGTACACCCAGCGTACGAGGTCAACCACCCCGATGATGGTCAACATGTGAGTACGCCTAACGTACCTTCAGAGTACGCCCCGCGTACTCACTCTGTGTTGACTCGGCTGGGTTGACACGGTTGGGTTGACTCAGTTGGTTTGACCAGTTTGACTTTGACTTTGACAAAGTTTGACCTTAAGGGTATTTTGGGTATTTTAGGATTTTGATTGAGATTGGTCCTTTGGTTGGAATAGGTGTCGATTAGAGCTGAGATTCGGAGTCGATACCTTATCAACTTTTGTCCATATTGTGAGGTGAGTTTTCCTCACTTTACTTGCGGGTCGACGGCACCAAGGCCGACCCATTAGATTAGATATCATGTTATGTGATAGTATGTTATCGTGATGTGGTGATCTGTTAGATCGGTATCCTGGTATATAAAATGATGTTATGCTTAGTGATCTGTAAGATCTGCCTGATTGTTCATTGACTGGTTATATGTATGTTTATTGTTTATGTATATGTCGATATGTTGTGTGTGGTTGGGTGAGGAGGACCAGTGTAGACTGAAGGCCAGGAGACCCAGGGCGTCCCGGATAGACTGCAGGCGTAAGAGGCGTATCAGGCCGAAGGCCTAGAGAACGGTCCAGATAGGCTGAAGGCCCGGTGAGGCGTACCAGTCATGCTGAAGGTTCTGTGAGCGTTCCAGATAGTATGTAGGCCGGTGCGGCGTTCCAGTCAGGCTGAAGGCTCTGTATGCATGTTTTTTTTTTATTATGTTTATGCGGTGGTACTTTGGGGGAACTCACTAAGCATTGGCTTATAGTTTTGGGTTATGTTTCAGGTACTTAGGATGACCACGGAAAGGCGAAGGCGTGACCGTACACATCCTCTTATTTATGGCTTATGATTTTGGGAGACTCTGATGTTGGAAAAATGTTTTGAAAACTATGATTTGTAAACCTTTATGAATTTGGGTTGATTTTCAAAAGTTTAAATTTATTGTGAGTTTTATGGGTGTTACATGTCACAACTGTGAGATGTCTTCGAGCAGACCCAAAATTCATATATTTGTTCAAATGTCAGGGGTTGTGTGGGCGCTCCGCCCCTTGGACACAACATGGGCACACAACCCCCTTGTCCCCGCATTTTATTGCCTTCAGGATCAAATCAGATTTAGATATACAAGTGTGCAATATGCAACATTAAACTTGTATTTGATAACAATTTACACACATATTTAACATTCACGTGAATTCCAATTGCAATAATTGATTTGTTGTACATCATTGGGTTTTTAATCCTGGTTCCTCTTATAAATTCTTGCCTTTATAAAAAAATCTATAAACTGGATCATACACGTTTAGATTTTAAGTAAGTTTTATATAATATCCTTATAAATATATATATATTTACCTTATATATATATAGGGTTGTAAACAAACCGAACATTCAGTGAACCGTTCGTGAATTGTTCAGCGGGAAGTTCGTTTATGTTCGTTTATTTAATAAATGGACGAATATGAAAAAATATTCTCGTTCATTTAGTTAAACGAACGAACATGACCAATGGTCTCGTTCGCTCATTTATGTTTGTGAACGTCCGTTTATTTTGTTCGTTTACGTTTGTTTATATTTGTTCGTTTAAGTTTATTTATGTTTAATTGTTCTTTATTACATTATTATATTATATGTTTGTTTTATGTTCATATATGTGCAATTGTGTTTGTTTACTTTTGTTCGTTTAACATGTTCACGAACATAAACGTACGAATATGAATAAGGTAATTTATTAAACGAATAAACATGAACAAGAAAACTTGTTTGTTTATCCGTTCGTGTTCGTTCATTTGTTCGGCTAACTTAAACAAACAAACATGAAAAAAAACCCTTGTTTGTGTTTCTTATATAATTACATCATTTTCTTAAAAAAATAATATTTTAATTGGGATACAAATGAGATTACCGCGTTCTAGTTAATTAGTTATAACCGTTTAATAGAAATTTTAATAAACGGTAAAATAGGGTTTCCCAGCAACACCTGTATCTCTCTCTATCTACCTTCACTGATACTCACCCGCCTTTTCACCTTCACCGCCATTCCTCTCAATCAAACCCCATGTGTCACCCACACCCCACCCCACTCTCTAGATCTCTCTTTGACGTCGACTGTATATATATGTCTGTATAGGTTAGCTTACAAGATTTCAACAGACAGGAACGTGACCCTAGAGTTCGTCATGTGCTACTAGCTATTTTTCTACTCTGAAATCAATACATACCCAACTGACACAAATTCATGATTCATCACCCTGTCGTGTCCTATATGGAGTGAGATTTTCCTTTGTCGCAATCGTCAACAGGAACTGAAGAATGGAGAAGAATCCCCTTTTCCCATTCTGCTTCTTCATCTTCATTTTCAGCTTCGTAAGCTGTGCTTCACCTCTTCCGTCAGACCAAAACGATCAAATCAACTCCATCTTAGGTACTACATTTCTGTAATCGATTACTTGATGTTGATGTTTTTGTTTTATGTATACATTTAATTCATCATGGTTACTGAATTAACGACCTTTGCCGACATTTCAAATAGCGTTTAGGTTTTGCTTTTTTCTTCAATCACCATCGATTTGATTAGGATTTCACCTACATCATTCAGCGATATATTGAAAGGTTGATAGTTTTAATACATTTGGGGAAAATACGATTGATAATTGTAGGGGAAGATGGGGAAGATGGCCATTGGAGAAATGGGATCTTGAGTTCATCAGCTGAAGCTCCTGCTCCTTCTAGTGGATCATCTAGTGCACTTGTATTAGCGGGTTCAAGAACAAAAAGACCTGATATTCTTAACCGATTCAGAAAGTATCGTGGTGGATGGGACATTACCAATAAGCATTACTGGGCTGTAAGTTCTCTGACTTTGTAATCAAGAACTATAATCATAATCAAATAAGTTATCTTCATATTGAAATTGTCTACACTCTACAGTCAGTTGGATTTACAGGGTCTGCTGCTTTGATTCTTGGTATGATATGGTTTGTGTTCTTTGGTGTCGCCATGATCACACATCACTTCTGTGGATGGAGAATCGACATCAAAGGCAAAGAATCTAGACTTTCTCAAACACTATGCTTGATTTTGCTCATCGTCTTCACATGTGCTGCAGCGTAAGTTTGACTTTTGAACTCAAACAAAGCATGAATAGTATTTGTGATTTTGTTAAATAGATCATGAAATCTTGTTTCTTGTTCAGAACGGGATGCATTCTTCTTTCAATTGGGCAAGATGAGTTTCATGGTGAAGCAGTGGACACGTTGAATTATGTTGTGAACCAATCAGATTACACCGTTCAAACACTTGTAAATGTCACTGGGTATTTGTCGCTTGCTAAAACTGTGAATGTGGCACAGTTTTACCTTCCTTCAGATGTGAAAGACAGTATTGACAAACTGAATGTGGACTTGAATTCTGCTTCAGATACATTGGGTAGAAAAACACATCAAAATTCAAGAAAAATAAGGACTGTTTTCGATGCTGTGTAAGATCCAAAAATACAACATTTTGAACTTTTTTTTTAGTTCAATCAAGTCCCAATATTCTTAAAAGATGTTTTTTTTTTTGCTTATTTCAGGCGATCTTCCATGATTACTGTTGCGATAGTAATGCTTATTGTTTCCATTTTAGGCCTTTGTAAGTCTTCATAAGAAGCTCATCGGTTCTCTGTGTATTTTGCCATAATTTTATATAAATTTTCTTGTTTTTTGTTGCAGGTTTGTCGATTCTTGGTCACAAAAACGCAATCCACTTGTAAGCTCTTCTTTCTTGTTACTTTTTCTCTGGAGGGTATGATCGTAATTTTGTTGATGAATGTTGTTCGTGAAACAGATTCATAATTGGTGGATGGTTGCTTGTTGTGGTTGCTTTCATCCTATGTGGAGTTTTCGTAATCCTCAACAAGTAAGATAATTGTTAAACTAATATGCATATGTCATGTCATGGCCTTATTGTTGATTAAGAGATTAATGAATGAGATTATTTTTGAAGTGCAATTTCGGATACATGTATGGCTATGGAACAATGGGTGGATCATTCAGATGCCGAAACTGCCCTTAGCAACATCCTTCCATGCGTTGACCAAGGAACAACGAACCAAACTTTATATAAAAGCAAACAAGTGATCAACGATCTCGGAAACATCGTCAATGGATTCATAGGTTCATATGCGAACTCATACGGCGTACTTCCGGCGAACTCCAATTACTACAACCAATCGGGCCCACTGATGCCCTACGTTTGCTCTCCATACGACTCACAGCTCCAACAACGAAACTGTTCTTCCCAAGAAGTCTCAATGTCAAATGCGTCTCTGGTACAATTACACATTACGAATTAGAAAATTAGGGATTCGATTAGTTTCAATAATCGATTTTGAATTTTGATCTGTAGGTGTGGTGGAATTACACGTGTACAGTATCGGAATCTGGAATATGCATGAGCACCGGAAGATTGACTCCTGATATGTATCAGCAATTAGTGGGAGCAGTGAACATAAGTTACGCCCTCCAACACTACACGCCGCCGCTGCTCAGCTTCCAAGACTGTAATTTTGTTCGGGAGACATTTACGACGATCACCTCCGAGCACTGTCCGGCGTTAAAGCAGCATCTGCAGATGGTGACTGCAGGTTTAGGGCTTGTTTCTGTAGGGGTGATGTTGAGTCTTGCACTTTGGATAGTATACGCAAACCGCCCCCAAAGGGAGGAAGTGTTTGCTAAGATTACGTCTAAAATTAAAGGCAAATGCAATGGAAAACTTTGTCGTGGTGATGCAAGAAGTCAAATCACAGAAGTTTGATACGTGGAAAGATTATTTAGATTAGTTTTGATACCATCCGGGTTTTTGTTGTTGTAATCTAAATCTAATTTCGGCCGAGATGAAGTCGAGCATGATTTGGATTTGGAATATCAATAATTTCTTGACAGGGTCAAAAATAATATTAACATCATATCATGGTTCAATAAGATTAGACCCGCACAAAAAGACCGGTCTCGGACCAGACCCAAAAAAAGACCAAGACCGAATCGGTCTAAAACGAGACCGGACCGAAAAAAACCGGTCCTACAAAATACCGGTCCGAAAAAAACTGGATCGTTCCGAGACCGGTCCTAAAAAATACCGGACCGGTTCGAGACCGAACGAAAAAAAAACGGTAACCAAACTTTATAAATATATAATTTTTGTGTTAATTATACAATTTTTAATCACAAACTATCTATTTTTTTCATTTTTTTCTTTCATTAAATTTAAATTACCATTTTTAATAAATCTTAATTTATCATTTTGGTGATAATCTCATATTTGTTAATGGAAAAAACTCGAAACCAAAACAAAAGAATCGAAAAATACCAAAACCGAAAAAAAAAACCAGTAAACCGAACTGAAAAAGACACACGGAAAGACCGAAAAACACTGGTCCGAAAAAAGACCGGGCTGAAAAAGACTGATCCGGAAAAAAAGACCGAGCAGGACCGATCTACAAAAAGACCACACCGTTTCGAAACCGATACAAGAATAGTTTGACACCGCCGATATGCACCTCTACAATAAGATCTTTCTTAGGTTTCGTTTTAGCCCAAGTATTTCGAAATGATAAACCTGAGGCCCGGCCCACAAATCGAAGAGTCCAATTTTTTTTTATAGGTTTTCACTTTTTAGTGGAAACAAAATGGAAGTAGACTATTATATTTAGTTGGTTTTTCAAAGTGCAATATCTGATTATGAAAAAACTTAAAACATATTGTCTTGATAGAAGAAAACAGAAAGAACAAAATAAATAAATAAATAAATGATGATGATACAATTGATAGAATATCTTAATTGATAACCAAAATCAAAACAAGTTTGGATTTAAAAGATCCGATAAGAGAAATAAAAATATAATGTTTTAATATGTAGGTTTTAAAAGTATAATGGAATATGTGGTTAGATTTCGAAGGTATGATGTCCTAATAGGAAAAAAAGAGATGATAAGTATAATGTTTTAATATGCCAAACATATAATATCAAAATACCATTTGTTAATAAGAAAAAAAATTAAGTACACTATCTTAATAGAAAAAAAATAAAAATACAATGTCATAGTTGGTAACGAGAAGTCCATATATTTTTTTGAAATATATTGTCTTAATATTTTAGATCTCAATGTGTAATGTCTTAATAAGTTAAAAGTTCAATGCATTAACAGAAAAAGTTGAAAGTGTAATGATTTATTTGATAACCAAAATCAAAAGTTAAAAGCTCAATGGCACAACACAAAAAAAGTTTGAAAATATAATAATACAATTGGTAACCAAAATCAAACAAGTTTATATTTTCAAAGTAGACTCTCTTAATAGGAAAAGAAAATACAATTAATGCCATGATTGGTTATGTTTCTCAACTCTAGTTTCTTGATATGAAAAATATTTAAAATACAATGTCTTAATACGTACGACATTCAAAGTATGACATTATAATTTTAAACTATATTCTATCATTGGTTAGCTTTGCGAAGTAGAATGTCTTAATATGTCCGACTTTGAAAATATAATGTTATAATTGATTAAATTTTAAAATTGCAATGTCTTGATAGGAAAAAAATTAGAAGATACAATGCATTAATAGGAAACTAATTGAAAGAACAATATTATAACTGGTAATCAATATCAAATAGGTTTGGTTTATAAAGTACAAGTCTTGATAGCAAAAAGAAAAACTAGAAGTACAATGTCTTAATATATTGGATTTTGAAATCAAAATGCTATGATTGGTTATATATTAAAACTACAATGTCTTTATAGGAAAATAAATGAATGTAAAATGCTAAAATAAATAACCAACACTAAGGAATTTTAGATTTCTAGAGTATATTGTTTTAATATATTAGATATTGAAACTATAATGCTATAAGTGAAATTCTATTATAAATGGTTATATTCAAAGTACAAAGTCTTATTATGAAAAAGATTGAAAAAGATTGAGATACAAGTTCTTAATAGCAAACAAAACTAATAATAAAATACTATAAATGGTAACAAAGAACAAACAACTTTAGATTTTTTAAGTGCAATAACGTATATTTTTTTGAACAAAGGAATTAATATTATTACATTCCTAAAAAGCTGATAAAAGTCTTCATACAAGAATTACATTCGAGAATGTAATCGTCGCTGTTAATTCACCATTTTATAGCGCAGATTCAAACTATTTGAATCATTTAGCATAAAATTTCAAGATGTATTGAGGTAAAAAAAAGTAGAATTGTATAAATTGAAGATATTCATATGCACATAAAATACCAAGAAAACTTGTCGAACACTCTAACTCATAACACATTAATAGATCAACTTTATATGCAACGATATGCATTTAAATGATATGGCATACTTTTCTTTCTCTAGATTGGTCATAATTTAAACCTATTTTCTAATTTGTTTAAGACTAAAAAGCTAAAAAAATATAACTACTTGCAATTTACTATTCTACCCTTGATTACAAACTCGCTCGCTTATCTTGCACAAACCGGCTCCTCCGTAATTGTATCAAGAAACGGCTTTCTTGATCTACAAACCGCCAGCCGATAACTAAACTCCGGCACCTCCACAACCAATCTCGGCTCTTCCACCACCACCTCCTCCTTCACTCCACCTCCAACCGTAGTCATCTCCGGAGATATCCTCCCCGAAATCCGCTTACTCGCACTATTACCCGCCATCCAAAAAGCCGCCATATCCGCCGGAGTAACCATGGAATTCACCCT